AAAGCTATTTCAAGCCAAAATATCTTCACAGGTTGAGTCCCATCTCAAAATGGCGCCGCTTGGTCGAATGCTGCTTGACAATTCTTGCACCCATTCAATTTCAGAGAGTTTTTGTGACCGTTCTTGAGTGGTTAAATGGAAAATCTCCATGAAACGAGAGCAGAGCCAAGTCTCATTGCACGGCTGTCTGCAGAGAACGCGGCCACCTGTTTGACACGCGCACCAATGTCCAAAAGATCAATCACGGAGCGATCTCGTCAGCGGTGCCACACCGAGCCAAGTCATTGGAGACTCTTGCGAGTGGTGGGGGTGTGACTGCAAATGGCCAAGGACGGCGGCAAAGGAAGCCTGACGAAACGCTCTCCTACGTAATGAGCTCGGTGTGATGAATGAGGGCACTTGGCGAGGGCGAGGCGGTGCCGTGCCGGTACGAGGCCCGGCCCTTTTAAATCGGCGCCATGCCGTGCATCAAATCAGCTCAACTAACTGTGCAGGCCTTTACATCACTGCAAACTGACAACATAGTCAAGGGAGTTGCGTGCACGAGCGTGTGTGTGTGTGTGTCCGTGTGTGTGTGCGTGCTTTCTGTTTCTATTCCCCACAGGTCCGGGCAGTAAAACAATCTGCTTGACTGCTTCGGCAAATAACACACACACACACACGCACACACACGCACCAGCTCGTAAATACGGCCGACAAAAACTGTCCGTCAACAGCTTTTGTTATGCGTGAAGAGTGCGCGCGCACAGATGAATATTCAAGCGAGGCGCCGGGCCCGTCACTCTGTGCCATTCGTGTCTACTTGCTTCTGACACTCAAACGTTTGCTGCTTCGCTGTCTCCTGTAGTGTGGGAAACCAAACTTGAGAGAAGATGCTTCCCGATTATACTTTGGAGGCAAAATGGTATTGATACAGATAACTGTCAACCTTTTTGCACATTTTGAGTAAATCTAGAAGGAAATGAAGCAATTGGCAGAGCCAGCGAGGCTTGCAGATCTCAGCCTCAATGTGCTGCCATGTCAATCATATCTGCCCGGGGGGTCTTAAGAATCAGTCGTGCTGGCCAACGTTACTACAACGGGTATAAAAAGTTGACACACTCGGGCCGCACAATAGATTGAAAAATTTCCATCAGCACGATCACGGCACATGCGGTCAAAGTCGTGTAATCAACTAATGCGGTGGGATTGTTTGCTTCCATCTGCCTTAACCTAATCAGATGTCATGTTAAATGCACATCGCCAACGCTGGAAAACAGCATCTTGGGGAACGACTAATACTAAATTAAACTAAAACAAGCCTGCTTATTGTGGAGAATCAAACAAATGTATTTCTTTCATTAAATAACGTCATGTGCCTCTGATTAAGCCCCAACTGACTTCAGCTGTTCTAGTAGGCTGTTCCACATCTAAGGCCCCAGTTCCACTACCATGTTTTACTCTACGGATTTAGTTTGCAGTAAAACACCATTTGGAATTTTGGCCCCAAAAATTCGTCCATGTTTTATCGGTCCATCACACGTTTGCCCATGTGTTCAGGAGATTTATACATGTCAACGATTAAGCAGAGCAGATGGCATCACAAATCAAATGAACGTTTACAAATTTTTCATACCCCCCTCCCCCTAACATGATTTACGACATGTGTGTGAGACGCCTGATTGATTCAACACTAAAAAGGGGGCGGAGTAAAGCGTTTCCTAATGTCAGCCATTTTCCTTCCTGACAACTTACCAAACGTGACCTTTTGGGCAAGAGATTAAATTACTGCTTCACACACCCACTTTGCTTGTGAAGGGTGGCAACATTCTTCTCGTGCAAAATCCATTATAGTCCCCCCACCTCCCCTCGAGATTGACAGCAACACATTTTTTCATCACCGCATCCATGTGGGGGTATAAAAAAAAAAAAAACATCCCTATATATGTATTTTTTAAGCATGTGATATATTCTTGATATTTGGGCAGGCGGCCTATGAGTGAATGCCCTGTCTCTCTTAGAGAAAATAAGATTTCTCATGTTTAAAAGCTCAGAAGAGATTTCTCCCACAGTATGACCGAATATTATTGCACACAGCCGGTCTGACTGAACAAATGGAATATTCCCACCGCCTTCTCAGTCAGTACTGGTTCTCTACACACAATGATGTGGGGACAAATAGGCCGGGCGGCGTGGGGAGGCCTGGTGGAACATCAAACCCTCACATGATGAGTGGCCTTTAATAGGGGTTCGGAAAAAAACACTGAGATGTATTTCACATATTTTGTCGGTCAGTCCGTTGCGAGTGGCCTTTCATTTACCTTTACAAAAAAAAAAAAATGATTGCATTGGATAACATGCGAGGTACAGTGTATATTAAGGACCAACTGCAGCCAATATTATGCCTTGATGAAGATCATTTTGCTCATTTTTAGATATTTTTATGTCATGGGTAACAAATACTGTACTATCTTGTTTACCTTAGTGCAGTACAAATGTAATGCCGTGAAGTCCCACTTCTTGGCAGTAGAAGCGCAGTATTTCAATATGGCATTCTGTAACACGTAAAAAAATTCAATCATTCGACTTGAGCAAAAAAGAGCACCCAACAAATGGAAATCCAATATAGTCAGACATGCCGAGTCAGTCTCGTTTTGTAGAGTACGGCCGCCACCTAAAGGCGTAATTTTGTCATGACAACAACAGTGCGGTCAAGAAGCCAACCTTCAGTTCAGGAGTGCTTCGAATTCTTCTCTTCAACGTCTGCTTAATCAGCTCCCACCGACTCTTGTTCTGGAGTTCTCGAGTTTCCTGTGGACGTTGAAGCTTGGTTAGAGGTGTCTCATGACAAGAACACATTTCATTTCAAAGAGCCTCGCAATATCAGTCAATGAAGTACAGATTGTTCATCCACTTTGCAGTGTGAGAGAAAGCTCAACTACACAGACAAAGCCGTTTTTTTGGTCTCGTTTGCTTAGATTTCCCATGCGTAGCACGCGATGAAAAAAAGTGGGACATTACCTCGTCTTGTACGGGAAATAGATTTTTGCTTGAACAGGGCATTTTGACATGAATGTCATCCCAGGTATCATCAAATGTGGCAGGATACGGCACAGTTGCGTGACCAACAAGGTCTGTCTGTCAACAAGAGCGAAAGGAAACATGTAGGAAAAAACAATAGTAACCATGCAAACAACTCACAAAAATTGGGGGTTATTCAGCTTTTGGGCAAAATGCATGAAGCTTAATGGGTAACAACTGAGAGACAGGAACATAGAAATCATGTGAAATGTTTTGTGCCTTTGAGGTCCCTCTTGAAATGTCACCCAAAAACTGAATAGCCCAAACTATTTATGGGTCGTGATATGTTTCAACGGTAGCATCTCGAACCCTGATCATCACAGTGTGGACGCCAGGAACGTTCTTTAGCGGAGGAAGTGGTCTGCCGCACTGGGGCATCCGCCGTAGCTCACCGACCGCTGTCCCGAGCCACGTGGCTTCGGGTTCATCTTCCTCATCAGTGTCTTGCTTTTCACAGCGCTTATCATGCTTCTCTCGCCTTGAGCCTGCTGACGAAGCTCCTGAAAAGAAGTCTGTTATTTTGGCTTTGAGAAAGCACCCTGAACTTGTGGAGCCTGACCCCACTTCCCGTTTCTCGGAACTGCCAGCATGGAGCATGTGTTGACTTTCTGAATCCACTGACAGAGCGGGGACAAGGCCGCTGCAGTCCAGGTCTTGAGGGGACAGAGGTTGTGTGTCTTCATCAGAGTCCGAGATAGCACCGCGACCATCGTGAGAGCCACCTTGGGTGCTTCGAGGGTCATCTTCAACCATTGCTTCAGAACTGCTTGGATTTGGAGTGGGCTTCAATAACCATCTTTCCAGAGTGCTTCTGGATAGCTGCTGCCTGGAGCCGATCCTGCGATGGGAGGTTTTCGTCCTGACGCCTCGCAAACCATCCATGTCAGCCTTTGTCCTCGAATTCATCTTTTGGCTGGTCTTTTCTCGATCTAATGTCCCATTATTATTGTTGCGATTGCATAATGTTGAGCCTGTGGCAGAGAAATACAGTACACGTTTTGTTTTAAATGCAAACGAGCGGCTTCTTTGAAAATGTACCTCCGTGGGATGGTTTTGATGGAGACGTTGAGGTTTCAAGTCGGGCTCTCTTTACCTCAGGTTCAAAGTCCGTCATTCTGTCAAATGAGCACAGTAAACAAACACGTTGCAAACTCACGGAATACGACCTGACCCGCTTAAGCATTTGTACTCACAAGGAAACTTCACGATGACCAGTTGCTTCGTCTCCAGCCAAATGAACGGTTTACAAAACGCTTACGTGACCCGAACTCGTCTCGGAAATGGTTAGCCGCATTTCTAGGCTCCTCGGACATTTTGACTTCGTCTACGACATGGTACAATAGTATTGTTCGGCCTGAAGAATGAGGCAGATTGAATTAGCTGGTTTTTTTTTTCCTTCTCGGTGAGAAAACAGCCGAGACGTTGATGTCAGGTGAGCGAACCGAGCTCGCAAGCTATTCTCATCGCTAGCTTTTCAACAAAGTCACACGGTGAACGCCTGGTTTGGGAGAGAGACACGTCAGGTGGAAACTTTTTGAAAGACTCAACGCTTTCTTCTCAGACGAGAGCTATTAAGTTGAAACGGAAAGACCAAGAAAACTGCTCGACATGAGAATAGGAGCAAGCGCATTTTGCGACAGCGACGGAAGTCGCGGCAGCTGCACGTCATTTCCGCTTTTGCCGCGATCGCTACTTCACAGATACCTCAGTGAGTCGAAGCACCTGCACTCCAAAAAGGGTTGAAGCATCAACTAATTTTTATTTTCCTTACATCCAAGATCTTGTGTCGGATGCCGCGATCGCTACTTCACAGATACCTCAGTCGAGTCGAAGCACCTGCACTCCAAAAAAGGGTTGAAGCATCAACTCATTTTTATTTTCCTTACATCCAAGATCTTGTGTCGGAGTTTCCATCTCAGTTCCTAAAATATTAGGAAAAATTCCAATGTCAATAAGAGCCATTTATTGAGCGATTCGGGTATCAAAATAAAACTGTTCCCTTCCAAACTCCGAACATGTCAGTATTGAACAATAAATACGAAATGTAAATCACAGACAAATGACAATCAGAAAATAAAGAAACCCTTAAAGGGATACGTGACTAATTTTGCCATTTTCAGCAGTACCAAGTCAATATTTTGCCGATTATGAATCTGATAGCCGCCTTCGTTTACATGTACAATTAACGCCACTCGCTGTCGACTGAAAACGACATTGGTTCGTTTGGTTGCTACCTGAGAACATGTGATGTCATTTTCAGTCAAGGGCAAGTGGCAAAATGAGAATTTAGAGCAGGGGTGCCCAAGTCCGGTTCTGGAGAGCCCCCATCCCGCCAGCTCGCAATGTCTCCTCCTCCTTCAAATGATCAGGATCATTGTATCAGGCTTCTGTAAAGCTTGCTGATGATTTGATCATTCCAATTAGGAGTGTTTAGAGGAGGGAGACACCGAGAACCATCTGGAAAGGGACTCTCCGGAATCGGACTCGGTCACGCCCCGGTTTCGAGACTGGTTGCGATGAAGAGCCTAACACCGTGTTTGTTGCAAACTTATTAGGACAGCATTTAGCATTGTGGAAAGGTTTGAAAAAACTAAACAAAAACGTCCTTCCAGCCTGGTTGTTCACTTCCTTCTGCCACCACCATTTGCCAGGATCATCACCAGCCTGGTGAAGATGTTCAGCGTGTCCATGTAAATGCCCATACAGCTGGTAAAGACAGAAAAACCACAGTTGGTGTGAGTGACAACTTTGACGTTCTTTTTAACGAGCATCAATTCAAGACATTCAATGAACAGGAGACAAATCAGTCAGCCATCATTTGGCCTGGACTCACGCGTTAATGGGGTCGTATTTTTGCACGCCGTAGAGCGGCTGCGTCTCGGCCCTCTTGATGACCTTCTGCGTGTCGTAGAGCAGGAACATGCTGAAGAGGACCAGGCCGCCGTAGATGGCCACCGAGTACAGGCCAGCTCCGAATGCCGAGGTGGGCGGCAGGAACATGGACCCTGCCGACCAAGGTGGATGTCACCTCCCCATTTCGAGCGGCCGCCTCAAGCGTTCAATTGTGCTCACCAATAGAGGAAGCAAAGACCACCCCGAAGCCGACAGCCAGGGGTCCGCCCATGTTGAGGAACTTCTCGCTGGGGGCGCACATGGCCACAGTGGACAGGCCGCCCACAATGCCCGCCGTGTACCAGGCGGCCCGCATCATCAGGGGTCCTCCCAGGAGAGTGAGGGGGGCCACCACAGCGCCCATCACACCTTAGACGTGGAAATAGGCACACCTTAGACCAGTTTCGCTGGGGAAGCACTTCTGTGAGTTTTTTATTCACGTTTTCTGCCATATTTGTTTGATGGTGTGATGTGAGCTTTTTCTCATGTAAAAGATGCGCAGTGGCTCAGTAATGGTTGGGAAACAACACAGATCCGGCTCGCCACGTCATTTTATGTGGCCCGTGAAAGGTAATCATTTGTTGCTGAAATCTGTCCCGAAATGTCAAATTGTCATGTGTCATAAATAACCTTGAAAAATGAGTTTGAGACCCCTGCTTTAGACTCTACATGGCTGCCCTCTAGCGTTGCATGCACATACCTGCATGCAGCATCCAGGCCAGGTGCTTGGGCACCGGGCTGTGCTCGTACGAGATGGACCGAACCAACATGCCGGCCCCGATCATGGCGGCAAACGTAGCTCCGATAGCCTGGGGGGGAAAAAAAAAATCCCCACAAAGTCTCGATGAGTCCATTTATGCTGATACTACTACTTCCCCTGCAGTGATCCTCACCATCCAGGAGCCTCTCATCATGAGTCCCATGAGCGCTGGGGTTCGGCTCACGGCGACTGCCGACAGAGCCGTCAGCCCGACGCTGCCCGCAAAGTACATATAAGTGGAGTGGATTCTGTCCTTCACATACTGAGGCCAGATCCTGCTCACAAGAAGGGGGCAAAGGACACACAACAAAGTTATACACAGAGCTGGGGAATGCAGTCAACAACACGCTATATAAATTATTGAAGGAATGAAAGGAGCGTGTTGGATAATTCTCAGTGTAATGAGGAAGTTTAGGTGAATTCGATTCCACGGAAATCAAAAGTACTGCAGTTTTGACTCTGGGGTATATCAAGAAGCGCCGTAGACTCACATTGCTTTCTCCACGGCACCAATGTCATTGGACATCCCCATGCCGTAGTAGCATAAAGCTCCCAGGCCCACTGCAGCACCTCCAGCTAGAATCATTCTTCCCATGCTGTCAACTGAGAACATATCACATAATGCAGATGCGGTGAATAACGATATGAGGAGACGGAGGCAACTCATGTCTCGTTTACTCTCCACCCAACACTGACTGTTAAGCAGCAAGCTACTCCCTTTCAACCCTTTGCACCCAGAAACATGTCAACCCCGTCCCCTCCATCGAAGGTTCTTGGTTAGCATCTCTCCCTTGTGGGTCACCGCAACATTGGAATGACTGGATGATATCTCATTTCTTTTTTGACTTTTCCTTTGCTTTTTTTTTTTATTAATTTTTTTGGTGTGTGTCAATAGGTACACTTACTTTTTAATGCCGTGCCTGTGGATGGCTCGAAAGCCGCCTCCTTGAGTTGATCTCTGGTCGTCCTCGCCCGGCGGAAACCAAATCTGGCCTTTGAGGACAAACCCTAACAAAAACAAAAACGGTTTCTACAGAGAAATGAATTAAGATGGTGCAGAAAACACATTTTTAACTGTTTGAAAGTGGAATGGGTGACTTAGAAGATTTTCCAAGGCGAACCTGTAGTATTAGAATGCTTTCTTGTCACGCTATTGTCATAGGGTAGAGAACGGGAGTATATCCTGCCTTGCATCACGGTGCCTTGGATGATAAAATGCTTCCACGCTATCAGTCGCTACGCTAACATTCTTTTTCCGTATAAACCCAGGGATTACAAGCCATCCTCATGAGTACCTTCTGCGGAGTGAAGACGGTCTGGCATGGCTTCAGGTTGAGGGTGGATGACCTCAGGGCGGCGGAGCCGTTGGCCAGCGCGGGACGGAGCCCGGCGGCGAGCGAGGGGATGCTGCTCCTCAGGCATGTCAGCCTTGCCACAAGCATGGTCTCGTTTGTGTCTCAGCCTTGAACGACAACACCCCGCACCATCATTTTGTCACATCATGAACAAAACTACAGTTGAAGCTTCGGCTAACAGAACTTAGCCGACGTTCATTTGCGTAACAGACCGTACGTTGATCCGAACACCACCGATACCATATTCACATTCATCGTAACCATCAAGACATGGTCTGAATACATCAACTGAGTGCTCATTTAAGTTACTTATTCGTGACATAGTTAGTTACCTCCGGTAATGTGCGTAGCTGCTCAGCTCGACAAGACGCTAACCCAGAAAGATCTTGCGCGAACTTCTGACGCAATTGTTTTGCAAGCTTCCTGACGATTCATGACGTAATCGCGACGCGACGTCGTCGTTGGGAAATGTAGTGCGATAAAGTCGAGGATAAAACTACGTAATGCCACTTTTACCATCATGTTCATACAAACTCAAATATCACGTGCCGCTCATTACACTACCAGTGCTTAAAAACGTATAAAAAGTTAAATAAATATTGTTCGACGGATTTTCCCGGGCCGAACTTTGTCCCTTGTCGTAGGTTTTTGTAATAATTTGATGACATGAGAGTGGGCATCGTACCATTGTAAAAGTATGAAAAATACGACTGTTTCATGCATTAAATCGGTTACATTTGGAAAGGTACTTGCAGCTTGCATTAAATCTAATTCGATTGTGCACCATTTCTCCCCGTGCGAGAATTGCAAAACATGAACCACTAGACGGAGCCAATCCGCTTTTGTTGCGATGATGCATCAATGCGAATTACATGGCTATAAAACTTCAATTTAAGACATGCATTGTGGCACGTTTTGTTTATTGGCATTTTTAATGAGCATTATCACTTTGGTGGCATGTTTATGTACGGTTTATTCATCCTTTTTTTGGACTCATTCATTAATCAATGGGAGGTCTTTTACGACGTCATCCAGCCAGAGGCAAACAGTTGGTCCGAAAACCTTTTTTCATTCAGACCAATGTACAGTCTGACCTGCAGCTACCCCACTGGAAATACGGAACCCCTCATGTATGTCCCCTATTGGAGTCCGAGACAATTTTTTTTTGTGTGTTTGTGTGTGTGTTTGTGTGTGCGTGGTGAGGAAACCATGGGATTAATAATCCGAGTTGGACGCTTTGAATTTGAAGGATTAAACAGCGTGGGCACTTCAGCATGGTGGGTACACGACTAACGGAGACTTGATCAAGTTGTCGTAGTCAGAATAAAAAATTTCGCCCCATCAAGTTGGTGAAATGCAGTGAGGCGCTCGGTTGCGAGAAGGAGTGACTTCTAATTTAGGATTCTTTATTAGTCTGGCATGACTGCAGTGCGAATCCAATTCTTGATTTATTTGCTTTATTAACCGATCATGTTTCACGAAATGAAAAATGTCCAGTCACAGTTGAAATCAAGATAAAACACGCAATACATACATGTTGTAACAAGATACAAAAGAAATCTAATCTAACAAAAAAAGGTGTGTATTCATGGATGTACATAACATTAAAAGCCTCAAAAGGTCGGCCTATAAACAGTCAATCTGGAACAAAAATGTGTATGATATAAAATGAATGTTGCATTGTCCTAAAAATGTACATACTATAAAATCTATGAAAATATTTAAATGGCTAAAAAGGTATTAAAACAGTAAAATACACTATCCTGTCTTTAAGAGGTACATAATATTAAGTAAACTAATAGAAAAAAATTCGACAGTCTTACAAAGTTATATTTTTAGACGCTACCTGCCAACTCTCCCTGCACTTACTCAAACTAAACCCATGCAGTTGGGTTGCTTTCAGTGGAACCAATACACGAAGAACTGATTTTCTTTTGTTAAAAAAGAAACAATAATAAAAAGCCAGTAACCATAGAAACTCTTGAGCGTTTGCGAAGAAGATGTGTCAGCAGCATTTAATAAAGAGGAAACATGCATTGCAACAGGGAACTCATGAATGAACATAACATTTTAATGTGCGGTTAAAGAAAAGAAAAAAAAAAAGAACCACACTGTGACTTATTCTCACAATGCGTACAGGAAAATACCAAAAGAAAAGGCCGTAGTCTTTCAAAAAGTCACCGTCCTGTGACTCGAAATGCAATTAGCGAGTGTATAAAAGAGTAAAATTGTGGTTAAAAAAGAAAAAAAAAGAGCCGTGTCAATTTGCAGGCTCCCTGCGTGCTTGACTTTTTCTGGCATCACAAGACCCGAGAGGAACCTGCGGTCTGGTCACATCTTGACGTGCGAATGACCCCGTGGCGTCTGCCGTTTTGTGGGGGTCACTCCCGCGTGAAGAGGCCTTTTGTGGTCGTGGCATGCGGCAGAGTGGTGCAAGGTGGAGCTGAAAACGTACCCCGCCCAGGACGGTCACGCCAGCGATTCCCAACTTGTGTGTATTTATACCTTTGTTGTTTGATCTATCGATGACATATCATGACAGGCCAAACAACGAAATGCTCTCCGTTTGGACGGCAGAAGCTACAGGACATAACAGACGGGTGGATTCACTCTTTGCGAGGTTTTCTTCATATCACCGAAGCAAGCGCCTTGGCTCATTGAAGGCTGGGAAACACGGCCTTTTCGGGACACACCGTTCCGCCTCGACGACTTCAAACGTCCCGGAGAATTTCACAAGCAGCGCCCACGCAGGCTGAGTGTTTAGACTGCGTGCAGTCATTTAAAATAAATGCAAACTAAATCCCGGGCTCGCTCGTGTGTCGCGGGAATCAGGAAAGGATGCAAGATGCGCTACGTGGAAATCAAGGCGGGATCGATCCGGCAATTTGCAAACGTCCTCGATGCTCCGACGCAAAGGCAAATTGCGCGAAATGTCTAACGGACAGTTTGGCGTTGGCTTCATTCACAGGTTGAGAGATCGCAAGAGCCAGTCTGCTGGAAAGGGGAATTCCAATAAGTGGCAGGCTCTTTAAGGCAACCTTGGCGGCGGGGGCGAGGAGATTGGCCCAACCCATTACGAGGCAAACCCGGGCGCCGCCGCAGCCTCGAGAATGAGGATCAAATACAGCCTACCCATCGTCTTCTTTGTGGCGCTGGTGATCATCGAGAAGGAGAACAACATCATCTCCAGGTGACACTCTCCGTCTTGACCTCTTGCCCTCAGCCTCCTCACTGACACGACGTCGTCGTGCTTCCGTTTCCGCTGTCTCAGGGTGTCGGGTAAACTGGCCTTGAAGCAGACCCCCCAGACCCCCGTCCAACCCAGCCGATCCGCCGGCGCCCCGGCCGAGCGCGACGTTTCCGTCCCCTCCGTGGGCAAGCTGAGCTCGGCTTTCACGCTGATGAAGCGGCGCCTGGAGAACTACAGCGACGACCAGCCGGCGAGCCTTGAAGCAGCCCCCCCAGCCCCCCGTCCACCCCAGCCGATCCGCCGGCGCCCCAGCTGAGCGCGACGTTTCCGCCCCCTCCGTGGGCAAGCTGAGCTCGGCTTTCACGCTGATGAAGCGGCGCCTGGAGAACTACAGCGACGACCAGCCGGCG